TTAAAAAAAAAAAAAAAAAACTACATCAAACAGGCTCTTAAGGGTGAAGAATCATCATCCCATAGAAAGCAAAAAAAAAACATGGTCTTTGTTTTTGGAGTCATAAAAGTGCACCTGATAGAAGTGTTGTAGAAGTACTGATCAATATCTTCTCTCTCTTTTTAATGCGAAAGTCGAATCAAATATCTATTCCATGTTTCCATAGAATCAACTCTATTCTCTTTAACCTTTATTCCAGGAAAGAGTATCAAATATCTACCTATGATTCCAAAAGAACAACTATAGTGCTCAGTTTCTATCTATTGAACCTGGTTATAAGTTTTGTTTCCAACTTTTACTTAAATACTTTGACAGCTGCAAATAGTCAGCACTTCCAGTAGCAGCTCTAACCCGCTCCCAGTTTTTCACATTTTCTTTAGTTTATGATGTGTTTGTGTGTGGCGAGGGAGGAAGATAGAGTATTAATTAGAGATTGGAGCAAGCGCATATACCCCATGGTGAAAATGTATTGCAAAACTGATGATTCAGTTGTTTCTTATTGTATCTTCTGTTCATTCAGTAAAGGAACATATTCAAGCTCAAATTCATTGCAATACTGATGCATAATAAAAACCCAAGCCCCGAATTTGAGCAGTATAAAGTGGATTCTATTCTTCTATTTTTCCTACGTGGGATTGTCATTTTCCAATTTTTTACCAATTTTTGTTCCCAATTTATTTCAACTACAAATGATCATCTTTTGACTTTAATTTCTTATTCACCCTAAATTGATTTTGAGAAATTAAATACATTACATTAATCTATTCATGGAATAGAACACGCTCGACTAAAGAAATCTTTTGTTCAAGTAACGGGATCTACTAAAATAATTGGTCAAACCAACTAATTAAGCCCCTGTTTGGCCCTCATTTTTGGAGGTTAAAAATTTTTAGAATAATGATTGATGGGAGAATGTGTGGTTGAAAAGTTTTAGATTTGTGCTGATCTGGACATCCACAATTATTAAAAGAAAACAAATTTAGATTTTTGTGTAATATTATTTTATTTGATGAATGTGTGGTTGAAATGAAGAGA